TGCTCCTAAGCCCATGTAAGATCTGTTAGTAAATACTAGAAATTTCTTTGAAAAATCAGGATACACAAGGATAGGTGAAGTGATTAAACAGTTTTTCAAATATTCAAATCCCATATGTTGAGATTCTGTCCATTCATGGAATATCCTTTCGAAGTAAATGATGTAATAGAGCTGCAATGGTTAAGAAGTTTTGGATAAATCTTCAATAATAAGAAGCAAGTCGCAAGAATCCACGTAATTCTGTCAAATTCTTAGGAATTTTAAAGATTTTTTCCAAATGCGAGAATTGCCGGTAAAATCACATTATGAATCATATGATTAACTATATCTCAAGACTTTATGTTCCAATAAATTTATTAAAATCATTAAAATTAATTTATATATTTAAAAATTTAAATATTAATATTAAAAAGATCGTATTTTTATTAAAAAAATCGTTTATTATAAATCTTTATAATCTTTAAAAATGGTAAAAAATATTTTCAAATCAATCTACTATACTATATTGTGTAATTAGTGATCGCACAAATTGAGTTTGGATGACATCGATGTCAACAAAAATGAATAATTGATAACCAGATAATGGAAAATTAGATCAATTTCTTCGTATAATAAATACCTTGATTAAATATATTTTTTTACTATAACATTTAATAATCTAACGCAATAATCACCTCCACAACTAGCTAATTGTAATTCAACATTTCCATTTTGCTGAATATCTTTGTTTTTCCACATTAATCTATTAACACTACAAATATGACATTCGCTAAAAATAAAACGATTCGATTAGCTTACTTATTTTGGATTATCAATATTTAATAAATCCATTACGCTTACTCTTTATCAACTTCAATAAATTCATTCCAATTTTCCAATTGCTGTTCATCGACAGATTGATATATTATTATTTTTCCATTTTCTAATCCAATAGCCAACAAATACCTTGAAAGACAATTTTTTACAAAAGTAAATGATATTAATATTTATAAATAATACTTTATATAATCGAAATAAATTTTGATGTTACCTTTGATTAATAAGTATAGGAGCAAAATCAATTGCTGTTACAGATTCTTGTAATTTTATGACAGATATACATTTCCATAGAGTTTGCTCTTGTTCCTTAATTTGTTTCCAGATTTTAACCTATATTAAAAATTATCTTAGTAACGTTCAAAAACGTTCTATGCGAGTAAACAATTACAAACATACTGTCTTATCCCTAGATCCAGTAGCAAACAATGTATCATCATGACTCCAAGAACAATCCCAAATAATACGAGCGTGTGCTCTATTTTTCGTGACAAATTTATAAGGTGTTGTTCCTAAGAAATATGTCGTTTGGGTTATTTTAATTGAAGAGAATGAATTGAAACGAATTTTTATAAAATTATACCTTCATCGCATCTTTCGAATAACGACCAAATTCTATCTCTAGATACGGTCAGTAGATATTTATCATTATGTGAAAATTTAGTTTGTGTCACCGTTAATGTATGTGATTGTAATGGATTTGGTAATTCTTTCCAAGTTGATGCATCATATAATCTAATCACCGCATGCTCTGCTGATGTTGCCTAGATCAGATATTGAAAAAGAAATTAAATAAATAAATAGATATCTATCTAAACTTAAAAAAAAATCTTAAAGAGAAGATAGTTCAAGTGATACCAAACCTTACAGGCACTTGCAACATATTTTCCATCATGACTAGCGCCGACGCTAATAAGCTCAAATCCATGTCCATACCTACAAACAAAATAAATTAAAGATTTACCAATCAAAAAATAAATTATAATATTACAATACAACTATACAATTTTCCTACAATTTATCAATTTCAGGCCAAAGGGTATGTTGTAATAAATGTTCTTCAAAGGGTGGTTGACTTAAAGTTTGTACCAAACTATTGGGCGTGGAACTTGAATGAGCATAAGATTGTCTACTTAGAAATTCTTCATCTTCTGCAGCTTTTTCAAAATTTTCTATATCCGTTTGAAATACCGCTTTATTTGATAATCCTAATGCTGGTAAATTTGCTCCTAACGGCCTTGATTCCTAGTTTGATCCATTTGGAGAAATTTTTATTAATAAAGAATTATTCTGAATTTATTTAGTTATTTTATTTATTAACTTACTAATTCTTCCAAAATTTCTTCTTTACTTAGTAACTTTGATAAAGATTGAACAAATGTTCTCGGTGCATCAAAAACTCTTATTACCTAAGTATATATATATATGTTAATTAATTAATTTAATCATACCAATTCAATTGTATACGCATACCTTCTCATCAGATCCACTAACATATCTCCATCTATTAACAAAACAAATACAATGTATGTCATAACCATGAATTTGTGGTCTCGCGATTTCATGCCATGTCTTTGAAATTTTATCATTGCTGCTGATTTTTCGGCTCCATGGGGCAAATAATCTAGAGGTTTGATCTACGCTATTTTTTGAAAAAAAGCTCCGTTAGAACTTTGAACAATTTCACAAAATTGTGAATGTTTAAGTAACTTACCTCACAGATACAAGATAATTAAAGTCTTTATCCCATGAAATATCTTTAACAGAATTAAAATGCCCACTTATCGAAATTTGTGGTTGCCAATTTTGCTCATCTAAACGGTAGGTATTATATATATTTTTAAAAAAAGACGCGTATAATATTTCACTAAAAAAAAAAAATAAAATAAAATAAAATGTCACCATTTTCATCCTTATCAACATTTTTCCATAAATGAAATGCTCCAGTATGCCCATGCCCAATAATACAATTTCCTTGTTTATTAAATAATCCTCCAAAAAATCCAAGTGTATATCCACCAATCTCACCTACTCTTACCTTAAAAAAAAGAGATGTAATTTAATTATTATATCATTTCAATAATATTCATTGAATGTATGAATTCTGTATACCAAGTTAACCCAAACGCCAGTATCAGGCTCGGGTTTCCATATCATCATGGATTTATCAGAAGAAGAAGTAAGTATTGTCATTGGTTGATGATATTTTAAATTTCCTTCAAAATCTAAAACTTAACTTTTTTAATAAAATAATTTAATTTAACGGATTCCCATATATATATATTATTTTTTAATATGACCGTTTACCTTTAATTAAGCATGGTGGTTGCCAACATACACTATAAACAAAATCATCATGTCCCATAAGCAATGCTTCAAACATAACGCTGTATCGTTGACTATAAAATATAAGTAATCTAGTTAATAAGATATTGAATGTAAAAACAACTCATAATTTTATTGCCTACTTGATACATGATCCTTCTTTAGCAACTTCAACGTCAATAATATGAGCTTTCGTACTTAATTGTACTTTACCTCCAGATCTAAATCAAAAGAATTAGATTAAACCCATAATGAACATTTAAATTTTTAGTGTAAGGAATTCTTAATTACAATGCTCCAATTTCGGAAACATTAGCCAACAAGTCTTTAATCAATGATCTCTTTTCACTTCCATTCTCATTTTCTTTCCCTTTATCAAATTTTTCCGGATCATTCTTGACGAGACTAATTTTCCAAAGTCTGACATATTTATCTTGTGAACCACTTGCTAATAATAAATCACCTCCTTGTAATTTATATTCTTGTTTAATATTATTATTTGGTGGTGATATTGGTGTTGTATATGTAGCAAATGATAATGATCTAACCCAATTTTCATGTCCTTGCAATGATAATGATTCAACAAACTATAATTTTAATTTGGTTGATTAGTATATATTAATGTCGAGATAATAATAAAAAATAAACAAATATTTTATTTACCTGTTTATTTTTTTGTACGAATAATAATACCTTCTTATCTGTACTTCCACAAGCTAATATTGGCACTACAATGAATGTATAATCTTAAGATGAATAGGTCATGGTACCAATTCACAATCAAAATCTTAACCAATACCTTTAGATTCTGGTAAATAAGAAATCGCCAAAGCTAAAGGATATTTTGTTCCAAGATTAATTGTTTGAATACATTCAACCAAATCTAAAAAAAAAGAAGAGAATATAAATTATATAGATTTCTGTGAGAGTCCAAAACAATAACGTTTACCTTTTGTCTCATCCAATTCACTTCTTTCCCAAATTTTGATCACGCAATCAGAAGACCCTGTAGCAAACAAATCTTTATCTACAGTAATATTTCCAGATCTAATGACTCCTAATGTATTAATCGATTCGAAATGTGATTTTAATATCGCCGAATTAATCCACTATAAATTAAAAAAAAAAAAGTTAGAAAAAAAAAGAATTCGAATAAAATAAATCTAAGAATTACTTTTCCAGATCCATTTTTTTTCCATATTCTTGCAGTTTTATCAGCTGAACCAGAAACAATTGCAATATTCGTTTGATTTGTTTCATCTCCTAATATAAAATATTCATTAGAAATAAATTAAATGAATGAAAACAAGACGCATATCATACCTCTATTTATAAATTCCACACAATTAACTCTATCTTTATGCCCTGATAGTGTTGCAATAACTCCCTTAGATTCTGGGTCCTGAAAATATAATTTTTTAATTATCAAAGGATACCGGAAATTTTTATGCAAATGTACTAAATTTACCTCAGGATAATATAAAGCAATATAATTATTTGCACCAAAAGCTAATAAACCATCATATCCCCACGAAGCTATCTGTGGTAATTTATTACAGCCTATACTGGTAAATTCTAATGATACTTTTGGAAACAACATAAATAATTTTTATAAACTCGATAATTAAAAGATGTAGATCCGATTAGATGCTCATTTTAATTTTTTATTTTCTAGAAAATTCAAAAAACGTCATTTTGGAATATCTATTTGCTAATTCATTTAAGCATAGATATACGTAATAAATCCATCATAAGAATACGTTAATGATGACGTCTATCTTGGCAAAACTTTATGTATAAATAGATGCTAGAATTTATTTTTGAATTGCTTTTTAAAAAATTATATAATATATAGAAATATGGCACAATATAGCATCTATGATATTATCGCTTTGCTCGTCAGTATAATGCTTCCTCCATTAGGAGTGGTAATGAAACGAGGGTTTGAGTCGGATTTTTGGATTAATATTATTTTAACATTGTTAGGTAAGTAAATTAAATCTTATGAATGCATCGTATACACATTTAGTATTAACTTTATCATCATCTATAGGATGGCTTCCAGGATTATTCCATGCATTTTATGTAATTCATAAATACAGAGATGAATCAAATTCAGGCGAAGTTCATCCATTTGGAGGAACGCGTCCAGAGACAGTAAAGATTCATTCAACAACCCCGCCACCATCAAAACAACCATATCAACCACATAATCAACCATATCATCAACCACAACATCAACCACAACATCAATCACAATATAAGCAACAATATCAACCACAATATCAACAACATTCATATTCAACAGATAAAGGTTCCGTTGTCAAAGATGCTCAAGCTGAACCTTCTAATGAGGATGTAAGCCAAGCATACCCTCCTACTTATGGTAATCATGGAAAAGACGAAAAATTAGAGGGGCAATCCAATGCTTATTATACAGATTATTCGAATGATAAGAAAAGGCATAAATAAATTTTTAGAATTTAACGTGTTTAGAATCTTTTTGATAAATAATTTATTCTGCATAATTGAAAAATTTTAAAATGGTTTATACGCTTGAATTCCTTATATATCGATATATATTCTATTTATCAACTTTTTTTTCAAATCCTTTTTTTATTCATTTACTTTATTTACTTTATTTAATCATTTATCATGAATCATTTTTTTTATTCCACATGAAACATTCTCACAAAAATTTCGTAATATTTTGTTGTTTTAAATAAAACACTATATTAAAAAAAATCTTACGCGTGTAATACATTCCTTTTTAAATTTTTGTCTTAGGGGACATTGCTTGTAATAACAAAAGAAGCTCTGGTGATTATAAATATTCTAATTGGTAGGACTATTGACCGCAGTAATGATGTAATCAAATAAGTTACTGATATCAAAAATTTAGATATTCTTTACCAATATTAGCTCATATATTCGAACCATTTTATTTATTTTGATATAAATTCCCGGGGGAGAACAAAAAGTATTGCACAGTATATATTTCATATGTAATTGAGCCATTTGTTAGTAGCATTTTGGTCTAAATGGAATATTTTTATTGAAATCAATAAGAATATCGTGCAAATGTCATGCATGTGACTTCTTGTTGCTTATAATTTTATAACAAGTCGATGACAACAAAATGAAAAGGTAAAATCTTTTAAATTTCCCCGTAAGAGTAAATTCATCGGTGTGTCATCGATCTACGTCTCTTTATGGATTTACGTGAATTTTTCGAAGAACAGACTAAAAAACCCAGAGCTCTCGATCGATGAGTTATATGAAACATAACAGCAAGGTAAGCAAGCAAGCATGTTTCATGCGTTGAGTCTACTCTTGGTATACTATTTGCATTATTAATGTGATTTCCCGCCATTAAAATATATATATATATAAAGCTGTTACTATTGGTAAAGATTTTATACTTTTATCATGAGTTAAATAAAGAATATTGAATAGATTAGTGTAAAAAATCTGTCATTTGAAATGGCGGGATCATTTTTTTCTTTTATTTGCCTTCAAGAGAAATTTTGGTTTTATATTTATTAAATTGTTCTTTTTCTATACCACAGACAAATATTTTATAACTCGATTCTTTTTTCTTCTGATTTGTATTATAGATAAATACATTCAGAATCGCTCACCCTCTTACGAAAGGCTATGAAGCCATGCTACAGAAATGCACTGCTCTTTCGGTCTATCTTTTAGGAGCTATCTATAAAGTAAAGTTCTAATACTAATAAGGAATACAATTGCTAACAACAGAAATATCAACATTTTTTGCTGTTAAATCTTTTAAAGGTAAATGAGTTAAATTAGATTTTGACTCTTGTTTAATATGATCAAATTTATTAATTCAAGTATAGTTTCAGATATCTTACCATTACCATGCTTTTAACTTTTAAGTACTCCATAACAATTTTGTTTTTATGATCAATACTTATGTTGCAAAAATAAAAGTGCCACTAACATAGTAACTGTCTTTTTAAATCTCCGTTGTCATTATCATTGAGATTTAAGATTATGAACATATTTGTTGCAGAGTATATGTATTTTGTGATTTTCTATAAAATATGTAGCGCATAACATAATTGAAAAAATTTGAACACTTTAAAGTTGATTCATCATTTTTAATCGGAATTAATTCGCCGAAATTTCCGTACCTAGAACGAAACAACTTGACATCATTGTGGCTGAATATCTGCAATTGCGAAAATCGAGATGTAACAACATAGTTCAAATTAATTTTTCAGTAAAAAGAATAAAGACCTTTTTTGAGTTGAATTTAGCTTGGCAGGTAAGGAATTTTCATTGTACTGGAGATAAAAGACATTTTGACCGAGACATTTTAATTTTCTTCAATGCTACACAATCTGTATTTAGCTAAGGCCTGGACGTTCATGTGAAAATGCGCACTATTCGGAAAAATTAGTAATGCTGTAATGGGTAGCATAATACCCGTTATCCAGGATTCACGAAGACAACAAATTTTCGGCGGAATTATTTTAATATTATATTTACTATTTATGTTATTATAAAATAATAAACAGTTATCAATTATGTTTTAATGGAATTTTACTACCTTACAATATGATAATATTCATTTATCAGATCAGATTTAATTAAATCTTCTCTTTGTTATATGTAGATCCTTTATTATTTTGTCTGTATAACAGAAAAAAATCATGCATAAAATCCCCCAAGTTTTTCAATTACCTAATCGAGACGTTGATTCCATTTTGAAATGTGGGTTGCCAATCACTATTAATAATTTACCTTCGGGTATGTTTGCAACATAGCCTTTTCCTTCGTTTATTTATTTATTTATCAATGAATAAAATGAATGACAAAGTTCCTTCAGGTAATTCATACTTTATCAGATTCGAAATATAAAAGAAAACAACTAAAAAAACAAATGCTCATGGTAATTTTCTTAATATCATTTGGGTTATTTCAAAAAGACTCCAACGAAAACGTAGTTCCAAAAAGAACAAATTCGAACAAATTAATAATGGGAAATAGGTTAAGAATTAAAACTCCTGATGGAAAAGCTTACGAAGTTGATAGATGGTGTCCACATGCAAATACAGATTTATCTTCAAGGGTAAGTTATATTGGTAGTACTTGAAATCAATGAATTTAACAATGAATTAATGAAAGATTTTTTTTCTTATAACAAAGGGAGTCGTTTTAGGTTCAAAGCTTGTGTGCACAAAGCACAACTGGACCTTTGCTTTAGATCAAGGGGGAAAATGCACTTCCGCTGACGCAACAATTAATGCTTGTTTAATTAACGATTGGTGAGGTCATCTTTAAATTGAGTAAAAAAAATAAAACTTTTTCTGTAACCTCATACATTCAAAATCAATAATTTGTCTAAACTCGTAATGCCAAGAAATTGACTAAAATGATTACCCGGGATAGGCTGATAATGATTTTTGGAAAAAGCACCAGATTTGGTATAGTCTTATTAAGGATGACGTAATTTGAAATTGATTTGTTGATATAATTAAACTAGGTTGGAAGAATTTTCGAAATTTAAAGCGCCAAGAATGGCCAAGATCAAGCGCCATAATGACCCCATAGTTAGGTGATTTATTTTTATATAAATGTGGGATGTTAGTGGATTGTGTTTTTTTTTCGAATATAAAAAGTAGGACAATTTTCTCATTTCACGTTAAAATTAATTTTTGAACAAATAAATCACCGACACGAAAATGTTTGCAAAATCGAACCTGTTGTTAAGTTTAATATGTTTGCTTGGAATATTATTTCCATTAAACATCAATGCCCAAGCAAAAAATCCTACCATTGATTTATCCGACTCGAATGGAAAACTTACGCCACACTTAATCATTACCGGTATACTTTTGATCATTACTGGAATAATTTTCTGCTTTTTCGGTAGAAGAATTTATCGACTTACGCTGTTCATGATCGGATTTTACATCGGCAGTAAGTGTTTGAGAATTATCAAAAAAAAAAAAAAAAAAATTAAAAATGGAATTTCTCTTTTTTAACGTAAAATTTTTAATCCTTTATTATAGCAATAATCACATGGGTTGGTCTTACCAACGGAGAACCTGTTGGAGGATATGCGGGCGCAGAAACTCTTAGTGCTACGATTATCCTAATAGTGTCGCTCGCAGTTGGATTTGTCGTTGGTCTAACTTTCTTGTGTTGCTCAACGTTGGCAATTTGGTTATTAGGAGCACTTGCCGGATATACCTTCGCATTATTCATTTTAGCATGGTCATCTGATGGTGTCATTCACCAGAGAGTCGCTAGAATTATCTTTATAGTGGCATTGACATTAATCGGTCTGATGTTAGCTTGCTTCATCAAGAATACACTTATCATATTAGCAACGTCATTTATTGGTGCTTATGCTATAATTTTGGGTATTGATATATTCGTAAGAACGGGTTTCGCTCAGTCTGTTAGAGCATTCACGGATGGATATCATGACATTCCTTACAAGACGAATACAAAAGTTTATCTCATGCTTGGTGGAATGATTGCTCTCTTCATCGTTGGTTCATTAATCCAATTTAGATATCATAAAAATCGTTTTGGTCCTGAAGAAGCTGCTTCTGTTGAGCCTCAAACTGGAAAGAAAAGATTACAATTACCATGGAAACGCCGCAATGTGGTGTAAATGATATGGGAAAAAAGTGATATGGACACTGTATTTATTTAATCATACTAATTAGAAATATCTTTCATTATTTTATTTGTATTATATCTCTCTATATAAACCACAATCTTATTGAATTAATTAAACATTTTATTACTTAAAAAAATGGGAGTGTATTTAATTAAGTATTGATAATTTTTGCATAATCGAGAAAAGTCATGAGAAGCCTAATAGAAGGCCGTTCCCAGTGATTTTTTTTTTTAAAAACCATTTGTACAATTTTTGTTACGCGAAAATGTAATAAGAAAAATCGCCACGCGTTTATGTCGTGCTAATTTTTTTTGCGAAAATCACGAACGATGAATTTCATTTACAATTTAATTCCGGCCGAATTTGAAATTTTTAACATTACATTGTTGTCGCCATAATTCTTGAAGTTTGTCGGAATGATCTTTAGAATAATGCTTTTTACGTTCACAATCTGTTGAATAAAATTTTTCACAATTAAATTTTCCTTCTTGTTTAAAGATTACGTGACATTTGATTTTGATGTTTTTTTTTTCAATATTATCTTGATACGAAGAAATGTTGACATCACATCCATTGTATCATGGCTTTTCCCGATGTATTTTATAATTCAAAATATCTTCACCGTGATGTCCATGTGAATTTTTAAATGAGAAATTAATGAACGATAATTCATATGTTTGCGGTGAATTACAGTATAAAGGTATCCATCGTGACTCATAACATAAGGAGAAGAACGTGGTGAAGTTGATGGAGGAACGGATATCGACCTCATATCTGATAAAGTATTTTGTGCATGATTTGACTCGTTCATATTATGATTATAATAATCGATTACAATTGCCTCATAAATCAATCTCAATCCAAAAGGTTTTTAAGGTGAGGACTTTCACCGGCAATAAAGGGTTCACTTTTTGATGTGTGTAAAAAGTGAAAAAATAAGTCGAGAAAAAAATTTTTTTGTTTGGTTGCCAAGTTGGAAACATTTGACATTTTATATATTGGTGAGTCATCCCTTTAGCGTTATTTAATAGGGGTGATGAAAATTTGTGATTGATCACTATAAATTAGAAACTTCAAACGCGCATTGTCTCAAAGATAATGGATTGGATTGAAGTAAAATGAAAAATTCCGCAATTATTAAACAAATGTCAATTACAGTATATAAGAACAATGATTTTAAATATTTCTGACAACAATAAAGATTCTTTATTTTGACCTCACTAACCAAAAAAATTATACAACTTTGATTACAAACAAAAAAAAGATCGGATACTCTATAAATAATTTGCAATGCCTTTTACGAGTGTGATGTTCTCTTAAGCACTATTGGAAGTACCTTTGGAAGGTTTGGAAGCATAATTTTCTAATAAAACCATTTGCATTGGAAGCATAAATGCACATAACATTTTATATGATTATTTTTTCCTTCTAGAGTTAATAAAGCTCCGTATTCACCAGCCTGTGAAAACCGATACTTGCTTAAAATGTATATCATGTATAAAAATTTAAGACCAAAAGAAAATATCCCAGAAAGATATTTATTTTATCTTTTGAATAAAGAACCATGCCAAAAGCATGAAGTTCGAATAAAAAGGGAATGTGGGTGCTCTATCATTAATGATTCTGTTGTAATATGACTGAATCACTCATTTCATAAGGAATATTAGATGCTTTGTTTGTCTTGTTCATTTAAGGATTGATTGAATAGCGGGAGGACACGTCGATCTTGTGGTGTCGTCTCCGTTTTTTATCAAAATTGCCTGTTGAATCGCCTATTTCTATGCCCCCTGAACGCTCTCATTATCAAAGCAATAGACATGTGCAAAGCCCTTGTACAACCCCCATCAATAGAAGCGTAATTTATCACATCAAGAAAAAAAGATTGACGGAATCATCCTTGCCAATCCACACGTATAGGCAGCCCTCTGAACCTTGGAAATGTCCATTTAGAGAATAAAATTTCTCCTGTCTGCAAAAGAAAGAAAATAGCAATTATGATGTATGATGTAATTCAAATTGATCATCTGATTCTCATTATCAAAAAAAAAAAAAAAAAAATTCCATTTGGTTTTTCAAATATCTTTTTTCTAGTCTATTTATTGCATTAAAAAATAAATTACAATATGATCAAATCCAAAAGAATGTTTCAATGCGTCAAATTCAATCCATTTCCACATGAGTCAAGAACAAAGATTTTTTCATGGTTTCATTGCAATACGTCGATTCGATACTTTACCCAAAAAAATACAAATGTGGTTGAAGAATTGAGAAAACGAGACCTGGTTAATGCGTTGACAAGGTTTGGTATTTCCTTCTTCGTGAATGCCTTTTTTTCATATTTTGGGTCGTTTCATGATCAGAAAATGTGGTTATTAATATTTAATTGAACGGTTCGCTTTCTTTTTTTTCAAAAAAAAAAAAATTTAGTCCCGATATCATCAATCAAGTGAAAAATCGATCAACGATATATTGTGGCGTAGATCCTACTGCGCCAAGTCTACATTTAGGAAATTTGTTAACATTAATTGGATTATTCCACTTTAATATTCATGGACATCGAACAATCGCTTTGGTCCGTCTTTTACAAATTATCTAAGGTCTTTTATATGGTTATTTGGAAGAAAAGGAAAACAAATTGATAATCTACTAACACAATGAATCAGATCGGAGGCGCGACCGGATCAATAGGCGACCCATCAGGCCGTAAGACCGAACGCCAACCTCTATCATTCTCAACGATCGAAATAAATTCTGCTGCGATTGATAAACAAATTCGACAAATTTTTATTAACGGTAAAAGGTATGCATCACGACGCGGATTTAAGATGAGTGATGAATCGGATCATGTGATTATCTTTAATAACTTGGAATGGTTTCGGAAAATGTCTGCCCTGGAGCTATTGAATGATATCGGAAGATATGCGCGTGTTGGAACGATGCTCATGAGGGACAGGTGAGACAAAATCTTATATGTCTCATGCAAAGTTTACGAATCTAACGAATCTCTTCAAAAGTGTAAAATCAAGGATGGAAAATACAGGGGGAATAAGTTTTACGGAATTTTCGTATCAATTATTACAAGCATATGATTTTTGGTATCTATATCATTATGAGCAATGTCAAATTCAAGTGAGTCAGAAAAAATAGAGCATTTTATCATTTTTTTTTTTAAAATTAATGAAACATTTTTTTGATTTATGCAAGTTAGGGGGAAGTGATCAATGGGGAAATATTACGGCAGGAATTGACTTGATTCACAAAAAGAGACCGGATTTAGCTTCGAGCGATTATACTACCGCCTTTGGCATTACTATACCTTTATTATTAACATCTACCGGAGAAAAATTTGGCAAATCCGCAGGAAATGCCATTTGGTTGGATGACAAAATGACTAGTGCATATGAATTTTACCAGGTAGATATTTTACATAAAGTTAAAAAATATATATATTTCTAAAATGTGATGTGGAAATAATATGTCCTTCTTCGTTTCTTTTTAGTATTTTATGAAAGTGGCTGATGCTGATGTTGCAAAGTATCTTCGCATGTTTACTATACTTAGTGTAGAAGAGATTGATGAAATTGTGAAAATTCATATGGTAATTCGATAATGCGTTAAATACGCTGATTACCAGGTAATAATAATAATAATAAATTATTAGGAATCTCCGGAGAAACATCACGGACAAGAAAAGTTAGCCTCCGAGATAACAGAACTAGTGCATGGAGGTATAAATCTATCTTTAATATTTGTTATTCTATCTTGGTTCAAATAAATAAATTTTTCTTTCTTAAATATTATACTAGTTGCTGGACTACAAAAAGCACAATTAGCTACCAAAGTATTGTTTGGAGGACCGCTGGAAAATATACGAGGACATGAATTAATTGACGCTTTCTTACACGATTCACAAAGATTAACATCAGTTTCTCGTAATGAAATTGTAAATTGCTCCATTGATCGTGTCGTTGTTACGGCAGGTGTATGTAAATCAAGAAATGAGGCGAACAAACTGATAAAAGTTGGTGGACTTTATTTAAATAATCAGAGGATCAATGAACCTCATCGTAAAATTATCGAGAACGATTTATTAGATGGAATGGTTTGTGTGTTAAGAACGGGTAAAAGTAATTATCATTTGATAAGGATTATTGAATGATAAACGATAGTATTAACGCAAATAAATATAAGAATTTGGGATGTCCGAGAAAATAAAAAAAAATAATGATAATAATTCACATTGTTCCTAAAATTCCAGGTTGTGTACTAACTCTTTCTACTTTGGCATTTCTCAGATGATATACCTTTCTTACCTCTCGAAAATGTTTTAAAAATTGATCAACTTCTAATTCTCCATCTAAAAATGATTTTGCCATTTGTTCACTTAATTCATCGGATTGTTGTGTTTCAGACTTTAATTTTGTCATAAGAATTGATGGTGAAAATCTCTACCCAATAAAAAAGTAACACTTTAGATTAAAAGGATTTGAATTGTTATATAATGTTAATAGATTGGTTTGAATACCTTTAAAGTCTCTTGTTGAACTTTAAGTTTTTCTTCAAATTCTGTAAAAAGTTCTTTTAATCCTTTTTCTTGGTTGACAATCCTATTACGTAACTCATATAATTCTTGTTCTTGTGATAATGTTTTTCCTTTAAAGTTGGTTTAAAATTAAGTTTTTTTTTTTTTTTTTTTTTCAAATAATCAAGTTAAAATTAAAACAAAACTTCTTGCACTTACTTGCCAAAGTCTCATTACCCATTCTCATTTCATCCTGTAAGGTCTTCATATTACGAACTTGTTCCACGGTCTCCAAAAAAGAATCGAAGACCACATCATTATTGTATAGATCTTCTAATTCTTCTTTACTGTAAACAAATTTAAACTATTTAATAAATTATTTTAAACTTGTCACAATAAATTAATTACATATTACCTTTTACTCAATAATGTTGGAAATTCTTGTGATATTACGACTTGTTTCTCTGTTAAAGAGTTTGCGTGAATAGGTGTCATTTTATTTAAAGATCTTTAAAAGTTCGGGTTTTATATTTTAACATTTTAATTTTAACGTGGCGTTGTATCACATAAAATACTGGGTGGTTATTACCCAACAGTCGGTCATGGATCATCGTTACCTTTAAGGAAATACTTTAAAATCAAAAGCGAAATTTTTATATAATTGACTTATTATTCGTTGAGAGTTTTCCAAAAATATTATAAAGAAAAAAATTATTGACAAATGCATATTAGTAATTAGCTTAATAATAATTTAATTCAAGCCGCAAATTGGTTAATACAAAATAATCCATTTTTAATTGCCTTTTAAATTTACCCAATTTTCAAATTGCCAATTCTTTTCCAAGAGCTTTTCATGATTCTGCTTCACCTTTTTACCTAATGATATTATTATCCCAAATATTAATTTTAACATTGAAATTCACAATAAAGATTATTATTATCATTCGAATCATTCGCGTCTAATGGTAGGATTAATTAGAACACCAAACAATACTCTGCTACCAATATCTGTAAATAATTCAAATTTGGAAGTTTTGTTATTTCCCAATTTATTTTCAGATGAAAAAGGACATTACCATGATAAGCATTCTGAAAATCTATTCTAAATATATTAAACAATGAATACTCAATATTAATTCATGTTTTAGGTTCCATCATAAATGGTTGACATAGTTATATTTATAATTAGAAAAGTTATACAACTACTAAAATAATCAATGTATATGAAGACAACAAGAAGCTAACAAAAACTTACCATTCACTAACAGCTGCACAGCTTATTTAAATATCTAATTATTCTAATAAATTAATAATAGATGAATCATTAATAACTATCAACTTTCATTCAAACTGAAGAATCTTATTTTCATAAAAAACAACTTCACATGAATACAATGATTTTCTATATGGATTACCTTTGATTTTATTATACTAATAATGCCCAAAAGTCATATATAAAATTTTAAAAATACCAGAACAATCATTATACTTTCCAACAAACAGATTAATACTTCAATATTATATTTTATATATTGCTTATAGCATCTTAAATAACACGTTTTAAAAAATTCATATTATTTAAATTGTGACAATATAATTCAATGTTTTGAAAAAGTAGAATTTTAAAATTATAGAGCTACATATATCTATAATACAAAGTTAATTAAAAAATGTTTAGCAAAAATATTATAGATCTAATTACCAGATCAAATTTTAAAACCTGAATTATATGTAAAAGTAAAAGCAATCAGATTAATTTTGTAATTCAAAATGTGAAGTTTTTGTTACTTTAAGATATACTTGCAAAAAGAATTTTTCATCTTTTTTTACGTCTACTTATATTAATAATAAAATTTAAACTTACATTTATAAATGTTTTAAATTAGAAAATCAATAGACCATTCTGTATTATCCTCAAATTTTATTGATTTGAAATGTATATATGAATATTCAATTTGTGAGCTCTTGAAATTAGCATTTATTTAATAAAATATATAATAAAATCAGAATAATTTTATGTTCTTAATATTAAAGAAGGTGATAAATTTAGAAAACATATTATAGCCTGAAGATTAGGTTCTATGAAATTAATATTTTGGATATTAAATGAAACTATTTGTAATTTTTCATTTTCTGTTTTTTATATCCTATTTATTTAATCAACATAATTAACAATAATCTATATTGGACTAATCATATTAATAAAGCTTTAAAACCCTAGATCAGTTTAAATTAAAAACCAATTTGATCTGATCTGAGATATTCAATTTAATTTAATTCATATTATTATAAGCCTAAAAAATGTTAATCTAAACCAAACTATCTGAAACCTTTAAATAATCTGATCTAAACTGATTAATCTAAAATTTTAGGTTATTAAATACTAATAAAATTACTTCTAACAGTTTGAATATGACTTTAATTAGTATAATTTCTAATAAAAAGTTACCTTTAACAGTTTAGTTTAGATATGATAATAAAAGCCACTTCTAACAGTTCAGATGCAATTTTATTATTATTTCTATAATAAAACTCATCTGATAATTTGTATATAATAAAATTATTCTAACAGTTCAGCATCTTGTTAAAAGACAAATTAATAAGTTTATATATGATATATATAAGATAAAGATAGAGTTAAGAGGCTTCGTACAAATTTCTCTAACCTTATCTTTGTATTGTAGAGTTTGATATTATTATTCACCACAGAAATCAAATAAGTGAACTGCAAATATTAAATATGTGTTTCTTAAAAGCTTCAAAGATTATATACATAAGATATATCAACCATCTGCACTTGAAAATGATAGTTAGAACCTCAGAAGAATCAAGACCCTTTGTGAAATTCTCTGCATATTTATGTAAAATAAAAATCTCAAGCTTATTATTTTTATATTTACGTCATCAAAATTTTTCTCAGATTAGTCATTTCCAAAAGTATGCAGTGACCCAAATCCTAATATAGAAATATTCATACCTTTTTTGAGTAATTTAAATAGTGATAAGGTTGTGATTAAACACCTAATAGTAAAAATAAAATTTTATCAAGATGTCAAGATTAAAACAAAAAGTTCGATAATGTACTACGTCATGAAACGCGACTTTTGGCTATTCCAATTTTCTACGTAACCTTTTGCGAATATTATTGAGGCGTTAAAACTTCATTTGAAATTTTGTAAGCATAAACAATTATTAAAAACTTTTTAAACTTCAAATTTGCATCATAGATAGAAGATTACTTTGAACGCCAAGAAAGGTTTTGAATATCAAATTTACATTTTTTTGCTAATTTAATTTATCCAAATTTAGAAAAATTAAGGCATAAGCATCCGAAGATTTACTAAGCTGTAAAATCTTCGAAGTACTGCGGTCGTAGTACTCCGAGCTGTAATATCTATGAAGAATTTCAATCGTAATATTCGTAATTAAAACGTAGCTATAACCTTCGGAGTTTACGGCGTAATACTTTGTAAATATACGGAAGAGTTTATCTGCGGAATATTTCGCCTCAAATACTTTCCTGATGTGTTTTGCTAAATCGAAAACTTGCTAATTTCCTAGATTTACTTGGTATCCATATTTTTTGTATTCAACATGGTTTACGATAAATTATAATTCAAAGTTTGAGAAGGTATATATACTTTTAGACTCTTGATTAAAACGAAATACATAGACCCTAAAAAAATAGATTAGATTTCGTAATCGATTTTGGACCCATATCCTTTTTTTTATTATAATTTTGATACGATTCGAAGTTCGATTTTATTACAAATTTTAGTAGCCAAAATTAAGAAGTGTACTGTCGAGAATTTACTCAGAATTTTGAATTTAGATCAATTCTTTAGTTATTTTCTATATAAGAGCTTTAAAAAGAAATCTTTCGAGAATTATCTAAATATTCAATGATCCAACGACCCTTGTTTAAGAATTTTACATAAGGATGGATCTCTTTGCCTAAGTAATTAGAAGGAAAGATTTTTGTGTACATTCTTAATGGTACGAGGACAAAATTCAACAAATCTTGGTAAGGCGGAGCAGAAGCATAACAAGAGCAGAGAACTTCGTCAACAAGAATGGTGCCACTTCGAGTCAAAGGACCATAATAACCTTTCCTTCGTTCCTTATAAATTAAAATAAGGTAATTAGATTTGATCTCAAAACTATTAAACATTTTGAAACATTTCGAAATGAATACGGACTTTTGTTACTCGAGTTGGAGACACGGAAAATAATTTCTCTCCACCAGAAACAAAAAGTTTAGTTTTGTTTGGTGTAACATTTCTTGCGAAATCAGTCTCACCGTTGTTAACGAAGATGTGATGTTCGGGGGTAATATGAAGTTTTCCTTATGTTAAAAATTGAATTGGTTAGAATAAAAAAAAAAAAAAAAAAAAAAAAAAATTGAAAACTCTTAATATCAATCACCTTGTGATCCATCTTGTTTCACAAAATCAATTGATTGAAATTCTGTCACTGCATTTGGATCGGCATGGATCATTAGAAACACTTCACTAAAAACTTGCTTTCCGTTTTCAAAACCACAACAGACGTGGTCTCCAATGACAAGTTCTGAAATTTTGGTGACTTTGTCATTTAACAAAGTAACTTTTGAATCGGCGGCAAAACATCCTTCTCGATCTAATACAAGTCCGTTAATTATGCTTAACTCAGCATTTGCACCTTCTCGTTGATTTTCTTGCATGAAACGTTGTTCGCGTTCAGCCCGTTTTGGTTTTTCGTATTTCTCTCTGGTTCGGTGCTCCATTTCTTGAATTTCCAGAAGTTTTCGTTCTCGAGAAATTGTATAAAAGTCTGGAAAATTAGTAATGTATTCTTTTAGGTTCGTCATATGATGCACGAAAATTGGGTCGTTAGGTTCAAAAATGTCGAGATTAGGTGAGATAGTAAATCTGTTCCCGATACGGTCAAGGAAGTTCTTTTCCTCCTGAGAAAATGAATTCAAGAGCTGGTCAGGGTTAATTGTCGGGGCCTTTCTGCATTTTGTAAATACTGCGATCATATTCTTTAATGAGTCTTCACCAAGGAAATTGATAATGTGATCGATAGTGTCTTTCTGTTCTTTGGTAAAACGTGTAGCCTCTAAGCGGGAAAGCTTTTGTTCAGTTATTTTTAAAACACTGAAGTTTGATGATATTTTACACACCTATGACAAATAAAATAGCCTGAATTCCATCAGCGCATTGCAATATTACATGGGTAATCTCCTTAAATATTTCTTGATTCTTTCTATTTGTGTCAAAAAATCCGTGTGTATCAACAACATTATATGTTTTCTTGTTTATTTCGGTCAGGGCATTTTGGCATACTTGGGTTAATGATACCTTTAAAATTTCCCAATTTCAATTTTATTTTATTTTTAACTTATTTTTTTTTTAAAACAAAAAAAGAAAAACTAAATCACCCACGGCTGAATCCGAGACAATAAATTCATCTCTACCCAAAAGTAAATTTCCCAAAGTACTTTTACCAACGCCTTAATTTTTTTTAAAAGATAAAATTGTGAAATTATAAACAAGTTTATCTAATTCGAAACAACATAATATTACCAGTTTTTCCTATCAACAGTATAGCTGGGTAATTTGACATTGTAGCAACTTCAAACTGGTGAACAAAAAAATATCGAGATATTTATATTTAATGGGTTAAACGATTACCACGTGTTTTTAATGCGTCTAACTATAATATTGAGGATGATACGATACAATTACAATTATGACAATGACAGGAACCAAAATCGAATACAATTATGACCGAATTAATCGAAATCGAATTTAGAAGAAAATCGAGTAAAAAAAATCGAATCTAATTAGTAAAGAACAATCCTTTGTTTATTTGAAAAATTAGATAATAAAGTGAATGATCAAAATAATAATAATAATGATAATAATTTCGCATACATCCATCCGTAAGTAAAAAAAAAAAAAAAAAACAAAAAAACAAAAAAAAAAACAGATTAGCCCCGATTAAAATTATGACCAAAAAATCATTTCTCGCATAAAAAAAAATTCGATTAGTATCGATTAATCGATCGAAATCGAATTCGGATCTTATAATCGAATCTCGAGATTCGATTAATCGTGATTAATCGCTTTTTAGAATCGATTCCCACATGAGAAAGACGCAAATATTGTCAAACATGACACTAATATGATAAAAACATGATTCTTTGTTCAATTATTTTATCTAGTGTATAATATTTGTTCTAAATTTCGGTCTGTGTAATATCCAAACCGAAACACGTTAATATCTCAATTTGTGGATAGTTTCAACAAATGAATTTTCCAATAAATTAAAAAATAAAATAAGTCTCAAGAAGCCCAAGTTCTTTTCATCATATTCTTCGCAGCAAAATGAGCAAATTGTTGACGACCCCTCATTCCAAGGAACCAGCAATTATATTAATTGGTAAAACAGGTGAGAATATTAGGTTCTAATCCCAAGGCAAAATTCACATTAAAAGGTTTTTTAATTAGGCGCGGGCAAAAGCACGTTGGCAAATTTGATTTTTGGAGGAGTAAGAAAGTTTGAAACATCGGATAGTTCGGTAAGAAACTGCAGTATTGATTTCCAATCCATTGACCGATATTGATAATCGGTATTTTTATTAGGATTCTTGTACTCAGATTTGTCAAAGTTCTCTAATCCAGCTGGATGATAAAGAGTATAATTTTGTCGATACTCCTGGTATTTTTGATACTCAGAAACCTGACGATGACATCATGAAAGAAATTTCTCAATCTATTGTCCAGTGCAGTAATGGTATCGTAGCGATTTTATACGTCATTGGTAAGTGCTTCAAAAATAAAAATTGCTATGAATAAATAATTTTTTGTAATATATTCTGAAATCTGAAGTTTTATGCAAAGCGTGGGGTAGATATACATTAGAACAACAACTTACAACCGACAAAGTCATTGAATTCCTTGGTGAAGGATCTTGCCGTCATCTAATTGTTGTTTTTACCAAGTGTAAAAAAGAACAAACTCAAGACCGATATAAAATGGAAAATGATTACAGTGCCAATAAATACCTTAAAACGTTTTTGGATAAAGTCGGCAACCGTTGGGTCATCTCACCAAATTTGGATGTCTTTGACGAAGATACTCAAATTGTAAAAGATCAAATGGATAACTTAAAGAATTATATTAAACTAATGCCAAGACCTTATACCACAGATATGTTTGAAAAGGTTAGAATCGCACGTGAGAAAAGACTAAAAGAGATTGCACTAGAGATAGAACGAAGCGAGGAAAATCAACAAAGGATAATCGACGAAGAAAGAAATGCTGGTACAAATGCAGCCAAGGATGCAGTTGAAGAGTCGGGTGGAGGATGTTTTTCTCTGCGCTCCAAGGTTATTCTTGTAGATAGCAAACGAATCGAGATGACGCAATTGAGCATCGGTGATACAGTTTGTTGTGGTGAAGAAAATGGTAAATTGATTTTTAGCGAGGTATATGCAATTGTTCATGCCGATGATAAGACCATAACTCAATATCAACGGATCAATTATTTAAAGGCAGATGGTACAGAAGGTGATAAATGAATTTAAGAAAATTCTGTAATTGATCTCCAAACACTCCTCTTAACGTGTTCTTTTATAGGCATTCTGCGTCTCACACCAAAACATCACCTATTCAATTCCCAAGGAAAAACAATTTTCGCTGAAGACGTCCAGGCTTCTGTAACCGAACTTTTACTTTTCGACGGCAAGAAACTTACTCCTGTGATTCCACATCGCATTACAAAGGTAAATTTTTTTTATTTTTATTTTATAGCATCATTTATTCATTTTTGCTTTTATCAATTTTTAAGGAATGGGGACTTGGCTACATTGCTCCGTTTACACAAAATGGCAAGATTGTTGTCGATAATATACTTTGCTCTTGTTACGCTGTTGCTCCACCTTATCAAGACATTATCAATTTCGCAATGATTCCTTTTCGACTCTGCTCGTGGATTATGCCTATTGCTGACTGTAAAAAAGAAATTCATCCCTATCTTTATTATTTGAAACGCGGACAATGGATTCTTGAAAAAATTGATTATTTTAACATGATTATTAAAGGAAAATCTTGAATCTTTTTCAAATTTCTTGTTAATGTTTAAATATAAGCGTAATTTTTATCAACTAGTTCTTTTGTTTAAGTGACCTTTAACTTATGAGTACGTTTATATAAACCGATTCAGTTGGCAATATACTGTGAATTTGGTGTAACATAAAATAAATTCAAATGGTGATCTCAATGTCATATATATATATATTTGATTTTAATAAATTTTTGAATGCCCAATTTATACTTTAATTAAAGTTTATTGTGATCAAAAGTTAAAACATAATAAAGTTAGTAATAAATAATTTTTTTTATTGATAAAGCTAATTGCTTAAATTACAGGAAATTTTATTAATTTTCGAACTTTTCAAAGATAAAATCAGGAAAACTCATAATGTAGTCTTTAAGGTTCATCATATGATGCGCGAACGTTCGTAAAAAAATGTCGTAATTAGGAAAATATAGTGAAGTACGCTATTATTTTTTTTACAAATAAAATAGCCCGAATTCCATGTGCGCATAGCAAGATTGCTTAAAATTCCGGCAAATGACTTTGAAATGACCTCAAATGACCTCTTTTTATTATAAATAAATGACCAAGGTCATTTAAAAAATACTTATACATCATTGTCGAACACAAATAAAAACATTTTATTTTGAACATCTCTAAATTATATGAATTAATTAATGTCAGTTTGAAATGCTTTGCTTAATAAATTTAATTGCCTATGCAAAAACACTGAACACACAACACAAAAATTTAAAGTAACCTAAAGATGAAAGTGGTGTAAAAGTAAAACGATTACTTCATTTATGTTTTTAAGCTGTAGATACAGGCGATCATTTTAAACAATTAAAATAAAGTAATCGCTTTACCTTTACACCACTTTCTTCTTTAGGTTACTTTTAAATTTTTGTGTTCTGTGTTTATAATAAAATGATTTCATTTTACTCGTGTGTTAAAATATGCGCATGATTCACATATGACACCACACCCTAATATTAATATAATCATGATTTTCGGATAAAACAGTAAGATTCTTCTCAAGAAACCGAGTTTTTTTATTATTTGTTCAAAACATCATGACATTGGAACTTCGCAGCCGAATGCTGACGGATCCTTATTCTAAGGCACCAACAATTCTATTAATTGGTAAAACAGGTGAGAATCTTAGGTTCAAAATTCAAAGACAAACTCATTTTAAAATTATATAATTAGGCTCGGGAAAAAGCACGTTGGCCAATACGCTTTTTGAAGAAGAAGAAAAGTTTATAACATCGGATGATTTGGTAAAAACTGCAGATATTGATAATTAATTTATTAATCGATATTGATATTCGATATATTAGGATTCTTGTACTAAGATTTGTCAAAGTGCTCTAATCAAACTGGATGATAAAAAATATAATGTTGTCGATACTCCCGGAATTTTTGATACAAATAAACCTAACGATGATATCATGAAAGAAATTGTGCAATCAATTGTCCAGAGTTGTAATGGTATCGTAGCGATTTTGTACGTCATGGGTAAGTGCTTTCAGAAAATAACAATTGATATAAGCAATCTTAACGCTTCGTAATATATTCTGAAATCTGAATGTTTTATGTACAGTAGGTAAAGAAAATATTCGCGATTTGTGATATTTATATTTATTATAAAATCTCGAATACTTTTTTTACCTATTGTACAAACAATTTGAACAATTTTCAATCGGTGGGCAAATATACAGATGAACAACATTATACAACTGAAATAATCATGCAAACCCTTGGTTAATTGTAGTTTTTACCAAGTGTAACAAAAAACAAACCGAAGACCGAAATAGAATGGAAAATTGCTTCAATGCCAATAAAATAAACAGTTTATTAATAAAGTCGGAGACCGTTGGGTCGTCGCGCCAAATCCGGAGATCTTTGACGAACAGAAAGTTAAAGAACACATGGGTTACTTAAGAATTATATTAAGCTAATGCCAAAAGCTTATACCACAGCTACGTTCGTGAGAAAGAATTACAAGAGATTGAAGCACGTGAGACAAAGCAACGCGAGAAAGAACAAATAAGATTAAAAAGAGAAGCTGGAACGAAAACAGCCAAGGCAGAATTTGAGACGGTGGAGGATGTTTTTCGCTATGCTCTAAGGTTATCCTTGTAGATAGCAAAAGAATCGAAATGTCGCAATTATGCATCGGTGATACAGTTTGTTGTGGTGAAGAAAATGTTAAATTGATTTTTAGCGAGGTATACGTATTGCTCATTCTGACGATAAGACCATAACTCAATATCAACGGATCGATTATTTAAAGGCAGATGGTTCAGAAGGTAATAAATAAATTTAGTTAATTTATCTCCAAACACCTCCTCATAATGTGTTCTCCTATTTATAGGCATTCTGCGTCTCACACCAAAACACCACCTATTCAATTCCAAGTAAATACAATTTTCGCTGAAGACGTCCGGGCTTTTGTAACCGAAATTTTACTATTGGACGGCAAGAAACTTACTTCTGTAATTCCACATCGCGTTACAAAGGTATTTTTTTTTTAATTTTATTTTATAGCATCATTTATTCATTTTTGCTTTTATCAATTTTAAGGAATGGGGACTTGGCTACATTCTCCGTTTACATAAAATGGCAAGATTGTTGTCGATGAAATACTTTGCTCTTGTTACGCTGTTGCTCCGCCTTACCAAGACATTATCAATTTTGCAATGTTTCCTTTTCGACTCTGCTCATGGGTCATGCCTATCGCTGACTGTAAAAAAGAAATTCATCCCTATCTTTATTATTTGAAACGCGGTCAATGGATTCTTGAAAAAATTGATCAATCACAATTTTAGTTCAGTTTACAGTATAAAACTGATGAAACTTTCGGAATATTTCAAATAAAATTTTTTTTTTTTCTAGTGGCGATTTTTGGGTAAAAATTTAAAATAAGTGAATCAGAAATGACTTTTGTGTCATTTTCCTTTTTTTTTTCTTGGTTTTTTTTAGGAAATTCTTATTTTGGATAAGCAAATCAGAAGTGACTTTTAGATCATTTTTAACTTTTTTTTCTTTATTTTTTTTTTTTTTTTTAGGGATATACTCTTTTCAAAACTAAGGTAAGCCTTTTAAATGTGACTTTGAATAGTTTTTACCCTTTTTTTCTTTGTTTTTCTTTGTATTTTTTAGGAAAATTCTCTTTTTGAAACTAAGGTAAGCCTTTCATATGTGGTATTTTGGTAGTTTTCTAACTGTTTTCTTTATTTTTTTCTTTACTTTCTTTAAATCAGAAGTGGGTTTTTGATGATTTTCTAACTGTTTTCTTTATTTTTTCTTTACTTTCTTTAGGAATACATTAAGGTAAGCCTTTCGGAGGTGATATTTTGGTGGTTTTCTAACTGTTTTCTTTATTTTTTCTTTACTTTC